GGTTCGCACTAGCCAGCTTTTAAAAATGGCGGCGCCGGCTTTATACTAATGAAGCCCGGGAAATTCAAATCGAACTAGCGGGGTAGTGTAGACATACCCTGGGTGGGGATTGGCCCTATAAAACTTAATTAAAAATGGGATTAACATAAAATATAACTAAACTGTCTCTACAGCATAACAAAGGTGATGCTATAATACACTTACTTCACATCTTCCATACACTTAGTTAAAATCTAGGAGGATCAAAGCTGAGATTTATCAAACTCCCTTAAGTGCCCATCTCCCATTGAAGTTTGGGCACTTTACTTCCTTAGGCTTCAATTCCAGTCCAAAGGATGGCTACTTAAGAATAACAATAATATATTTGGTTGAGTGGCTCCTCATTTGCCTCCGAGCTCTGTGCACATGAGTAAACTCACCTTCAATGAAAACTGCTAACGAAAGCATCAGCCTATCCAAGGCCACTGGCAATGCACTGGTGCCATGAGCCATAATGTCAACCAGCCCCGAGATGCCATAGAAGAGATACATAGTGGCATGCTGCCAGTTCATCAAGTGATCCCAGTGTTTTTCCTCATAATTATACAACTTCAGGTGAGGCCCATCAGGAACAAACTGCTCAGCTATCATACCTGCATATGAAATAACAGAGAAGTTGGTGGCTATACCAGGGTGTAATTAAGGTACAAGTCTCACAAACTGTAGCAAGATGCTGGTGCAAGAGCACCTAATTAGCCCCTATTCTGTCAGCTCTAATCAAGGGGAAGAGATTGGGGCTGAGTCCTGAGGCTGGCCTGAGGATTAGCAATACCTGCATCCTGACAAGCCAAGGACTATATAGGCTGGGAAGGAGTCAGAAGTGAGGTCAGTCAGGGAGAGAGGGAGGGAGCTAGCTAGCTAGCTGGCTGGCTGGCTGGCTGGAGGCCTCCTAGCTGAGGACTGACTCTGCCTGTAAGAGGCTATGTCTAGACTGCAGGCTTCTTTCGGAAGAAGTTTTTCTGGAAGAGAGCGTCCATACTGAGAAAACGCAACGAAAAAGCGATCTGCTTTTTCAACAGATAGTGTCCATTCAGTGTGGATGCTATCTCGCATGTAAGCTGTGATTACTATGTTACTAAGAGCTCTTTCAGAAAAAGGCTTCTTCCTCGTAGAAAGAGGTGTACCAGTGTCAGAAAACCCCCTCTGTCCTTTCAATTTTCTTTCAAAAGAATGCGACTGCAGTGTGGATATTACTCAGGTTTTCTCGGAAAAACAGCTGTTTTCCTGAAAAAACTCTGTAGTGTAGACATACCGGGGGGAATGTATTTAGCTTGGATGAATAAAGACATGGGTGTTGCACAGTCTCTCTGAGCCTGATTTGACAGGACAACCAGTGCCCAAGAAGAGGGGGCTGATTGTGCACCCTGTTACGTAGGCCATTCAAGTGAAGATCGTACTTTACTCAATCGTGGCAGCATGCCAGTTGTGCTAATGGATGCATGACACCCGGACAGTAACAGTGCAGATCACCACTTTATATTGCTTTCTAATCAAACATTTGCTATTGTCTGTGATCATTTGACTAAATCTTTAGCAGTCTTTTTCTCTCGATACACAGTAGCTTAAGAATGGGTTTAATATACCTGGCTTCCTTAAAACTACAAGTTCAAGGCCCAGCAAGGTCACCTTAGCTTTTCCCCTCTCTGCAGTATGTATATTAGTATGCTGATTAGTTGACTTCCTGGGGATCTTTCCTATGATGCCTTAAAGGCAGGAGTCCCTTCTGCTGGGTGCATGGGCATTAAAACTCCAATGGGGCTTTTTGTTAAAAGTAGGGATTTATGCTGATTTTTTTACTCCCCTTCAACACATGTATGTTTATTAGCTAGCTTCAGTTCTTCCTCTCAGTGAAGGTCGCATTGGAGTTGTACTTTGTGTGTACACTGTAGTTTATGGAGCACTTTGGCCATGTCTAAACTACACCCCTCTGTTGGCAGATGGATGTAAATTAGATGTATCGAAAGTGCAAACGAAGCCGGGATTGAAATATCCCGTGCTTCATTTGCATAATGGCAGCCACTGCTTTTTTTCAAAATGGGGCTTTTCGAAAAAAAATGGCAGCTTAGAAGGGGCATTTTCTACAGAAATGTCCCGTTTCGAAAGATCCTGTATTCCTAAAAAAATTGCACTTTCGGTACGCCTAATTTACATCCCTCTGCCAACAGAGGGGTTTAGTTTAGACGTAGCCTTTGTGTCAAGACATTCTATATAAATATATATTTTCAACTGAAGGTTATATTTAGCATAATGGAGACCAATATGCCCCTAAACGATGCAAGCTGTTATATGACAGCGCAAATGCACATTTTTTCCCATATCTGTTTCAGTGCCATGCACACCCACTTACTTCAGCACTAGAGCTTTCATTCCCTCTCCCTCAGTCTTTTCTCTCTCACAATTTGGACTGAGGGCTAAGTTATAATACATTAAAACAATAAACTGCTTCAGTAAAAATGAAAGTGTTCGTTTTAAGGATGTTAAGTAATGGATAATTGACTACTCTATAAGCACAGTAGAGGCTCTTGCACATTTCAAAGAAGAGACTGAGGGGGGATAAGATAGAGGTATATAAAATCATGAGTGGTGTGGAGAGGGTGAATAAAGAAAAGTTATTCATTAGTTCCCATAATATAAGGATTAGAGGACACCAAATGAAATTAATGGGTGGCAGGTTTAAAACTAATAAGCGAAAGTTCTTCTTCACACAGTGCATAATCAACCTGTGGAACTCCTTGCCAGAGGAGGCTGTGAAGGGTAGAACTATAACAGAGTATAAAGAGAAGCTAGATAAATTCATGGAGGTTAGGTCCATAAAAGGCTATTAGCCAGAGGATAGGAATGGTGTCCATGCCCTCTGTTTGTTAGAGGCTGGAGAAAGATGGCACGAGACAAATCACTTGATCATTGTCTTTGGGCCACCCCCTCCAGGGCACCTTGTGCTGCCACTGTCAGCAGACAGGCTACTGGGCTAGATGGACCTTTGGTCTGACCAAGTACGGCCGTTCTTATGTTCTTATGTTCTAATGCGGAACTCTGCGTGCAGCCCGGGGCTAGCGGGAACTCTTGCTAACTCTGGGCTGCATGCAGTGTGCCAGCCTTGAAATAAACAAGAGTCTCCAGAGGCCTCAGGCTCCATGCTGAGCTGCCAATTTGAAATGCCATACAGAGCCGGGGTCAGCTGAGGAGTCCCCAGCTGATCCCGGCTTCCCTGGAAATGCCACACTGGAGCCCAGAATCAGCTGGGGAGTCCCCAGCTGACCCCGGGCTCCACGCAAGGCAGCACTGCACAGCTGATCCCGGACTCAGCCGTGCAAGTACCTCCTCTTTCTCCCGTTTGCTGCCTCTATCTGATAGAATCGACTAGTCAACTGACTATCTGATAAACATTTGCTTATCGGATAGTCAATTAGTCCTTCACATCCCTAGTTGGTTTAGTATGTCCCATCCCAACAGAACATCAACTCTACAGATCGCATGATGGATCCAAAGATAAGTTTTCTGTAAGCAGATAATATATTGTACATGTTTGCTCTCAGAGTATCTCAAACTATGTACTGTGGATACAGCATCACTGAAATACAGCCATCTGTGAGGTGAAGAGAAGTAGCCAACTGGAGGACAATAGTATGGGGACAAGCAGGAAAGAGATTATGACAGATCAGAAGAGGACAAAATGCATGCCTTATTCGAAATCCCATGGAATCTTTATTATCCCCCTCAGAGCAAATAGCTAAAATTCATATTGTGACCATATTTCTTGAGACCACATACAGTGAACTCACAAATATCCAATTTACTAAGGGAAAAGTGTTAAATTAGACTGTGCTGTGATTTGAATAAGGCAAAGGTTTCATATCAACTGCTTAGTCCACTAAGCCATCTATCTGACTTCTATTTTGCTTTGTTTCTAAGCCATCCCCTAGTGGAATGCAAAGTGGAAATCTCTGTAGTGGGTCTGGAGCTCAAAGGTCTAGTCATTTTTCAAAAGGGTAGATATTTTCATTTTTGAATGTTACCAGATAGGCAGCATTCTACATTCCCATGTTATATTAATACGTCAGTGGAAGCTGGTGACATCTGAAAGTTGACAGGTGCTCACAGAGTTGCCCTCACACCCAATTTACAGCAATGGATAGAAATCATAATGCTGTTCATTCAAAAAGGCTAAGCTTGCAGTTGCCAGTTTGCATATCAGAGCACTGGCTCAACGACCACACATTTGCACCGCAACCTCTATAACAACTAGGGATGTAATAGTATAGTCAATTAACCGATGAGCAAAAGCTTATCGGTTAATGCTATCGATTACACACATTTAAATACAGATATGCAGCAGGGGACCTTCCCCCACTGTGGCTCTGCATTTAAAACATAGTAGGAGCTGGGCAGGCAGTCAGCTCAGCTCCTACTACATTTTAAATGCAGAGTCGTAGGGGGGTAGGTCCCAGACCTGGCACAAGCCGGGACTGAGTGCTTTAATTGCCTTTCCTTATTGACTAATCATGTAATCAATACAAATTCTATTGCCTATGCAATCTATAGTCAATTAACCGATGAGCAAAAGCTTATCGGTTAATGCTATCGATTACACACATTTAAATACAGATATGCAGCAGGGGACCTTCCCCCACTGTGGCTCTGCATTTAAAACATAGTAGGAGCTGGGCAGGCAGTCAGCTCAGCTCCTACTACATTTTAAATGCAGAGTCGTAGGGGGGTAGGTCCCAGACCTGGCACAAGCCGGGACTGAGTGCTTTAATTGCCTTTCCTTATTGACTAATCATGTAATCAATACAAATTCTATTGCCTATGCAATCAGCAAATTACCCGCTTCTTAACATCCCTAATCCCAACTCCTGAACTGGCTAAGTGATGCAAAAGAGTTTGTGAGGATCTTAAAATGGCTTCAGAATTCAACTTTAGACAGAAAACATGTTACAACCTTAACTATGGAATGACTGAATATGATTTCAATTATACACAGACTCTAAGACCAGAGTGGACCATTAGAACATCTGGTCTGACCTCTGTATATACCAGGGGTGTCCAAACTTTTTTCAAAGAGGGCCAGATTTGATGAAGTGAACATGTGTGAGGGCCGACCATTTTGCCTGACATTCTTTGAACCATTAAAATTAAATGCAAATTAACTATTTTATGCAAAGTTTATTGCAAACGGCATACTTTTCGGAGAGGTTAAAGAGACTGGGACTTTTCAGTTTAGAAAAGAGGAGACTGAGGGGTGTCCAAACTTTTTTCAAAGAGGGCCAGATTTGATGAAGTGAACATGCGTGAGGGCCGACCATTTTGCCTGACATTCTTTGAACCATTAAAATTAAATGCAAATTAACTATTTTATGCAAAGTTTATTGCAAACGGCAAACGACATAACACCAACTATACATGTTGTGTCCAAATATATTTATAACTGATTTAGACCAACTGACATTAACTGAGATTTTACAATGTATTCATCTCAATTGAAAAAAAAACTTGCCTACACTAATGTGAAGGGTGAAACTGAGATCTGGACTGCAGTACATAGGCTAGGTCTGGTTCAAAGGCAGTGGTTTTGATGCGCAAAATGTCACGCAGGTGAGAGTCACTTAGTCTTGTCCTCACGCGGTTCTTGTTAAAGTTCATAGCAGAGAATGTCTTCTCACACATATATGTTGAGCCAAACAAGCTCAGCATTTTCTTAGCCAATGTTCGAATCTCTTGAAACCGGCTCTTATCCAGTTGGCGGTAAAAGTTCACAAGAGAGAGCTGTTGGTGACGACTGCGTAACTCGCTGTCACAATGCAGCTCAATGAGCTCGAGCTGCAGCTGATCTGGAGCATCCTCGGGGTCAACAGAGAATGGAGAGGAGAAAAGGCTGATCTCCTTTTCAATAGCTGCAAAGTCCTGAAAGCGCCGTTTAAACTCCCCAGCCAGAGATGCAATGTCTGCTGCATACCTGCTCGTTTGCGCACTGATATTGTCCTGTGGAAAACTGTTCATTATTTCCTGCAACGCTGAAAAATGTATGGTATTGGGCTGTGTTTGTGACAACTGCCTTATGAAAAGTTGCAGCTTTGTCCCAAAGGCTTTGAGGTGTGAATAAAGCTGGTTCACCGCTGCATCTTTCCCCTGAAGACTCGTGTTCAGTACATTCAGATGCTTTGTTATGTCAACTAGAAACCCCAAATCAGCCAGCCAAATAGGATCAGATAGTTCTCGCATTGGTTGTCCCTTTGTTTCCAAGAATTCTCCGATTTCCTTTCTGAGAGAGTAGAAACGCTGCAGTGCAGACCCCCGACTGAGCCATCTTACATCGTTGTGATATAAAACATCTTCGTATTCAGCCTGGATGTCCAGTAGAAACTGTTTAAACTGGCGGTGGCACAGGGCTTTAGAGCGAATAAAATTAATAGTCTTTAGCACCGGTTTCATAACATGATCATATTTGAGATGTTTAGCACAGAGAACTTGTTGATGAATGATACAATGGAGTTTAATAGCTTTGCCTCCTTCTTCGATCACCTTGTTACAGATTAGGGTTGATAATCCACTTCGTTCACCAACCATGGCAGGTGCCCCATCAGTAATAATCCCAGTAACTTTGTTCCAAGGCAGTTTCATGTCATCTATGGCGGAACTAACAGAAACAAATAAATCTTTTCCTCTTGTTTGGTCCGTAAGGCTCTGGAGGTCAAGTAGCTCTTCAGTCACATTCATTTCATCGTCCACCCCTCTCATAAAAATCAGCAACTGAGCTGTGTCAGATAGGTCCGTGCTTTCATCACAGGCTATTGAAAAGAAGTCAAAATCCACTCCTTTGGATGTCAACTGTCTCTTAATATCTGATGAAATCTCTTCAATTCTCCGTGCTACAGTGTTACGAGCCAGGCAAATGTTGGCAAACTCTTGCTTCTTCTCGGGACAGATATTCTCAACCATTTTCATAACGCATTCTTTGATAAAGTCACCCTCAGCAAAAGATTTGCAATTTTTAGCAATTAACGTTGCCACCTCATAGCTCGCCCTTGTGGCATTTTCATTTGACTCACGGGCTCTTATGAAAAATTTCTGTTGTGACATTAAAACAGCTTCAAGTTGCTTCAACTTTTCACTGCGGTCGTGCCCTGTAAGCTTGTCGTATGTGCTATGTCTCGACTGGTAGTGTCTCTTGACATTAAATTCCTTTTAAACAGCCACAGTCTCTTGGCATATCAGACAAACACAGTGATTCTGTATTTCAGTGAAGAAATATTCCACTTTCCACCTGTCCTGGAAGCGGCGGCCCTCACTGTCAACTTTCCTTCTTTTATTTACAGTCGCCATTTTTTTAAATTGACCAGAAGGGGAAGGGATCATGTGAGCGCAGTGCCAGAGGTTTAATACACTGCCCAAGTAATACACTGCACTAATACACTGCCCAACAAGAATTCTCTTGCCTTTGTGGCTGTTTGTGGCGAAGTCTCTAATGATGAGCTCCACGTGCCTGAGCCCGTTTGTGGCGAAGTCTCTAATGTTCGCAGCTCCACGTGCCTGAGCCCGCCAGGAAGC